GGACGTCCACCTGCTCGGCCTCGCAGTGGTACAGGCGGTAGGCGTTGTGCTGGGGGCAGCTCCAGGCCCGCACGTCGTCCGCCTCCACCAGGAGATGGCCCCGGGCGGTGGAGGGTTGCTGCAGGTGGGTCTGAACGTGGGACTGGCAACAAGGAGCCTCGCACCTCAAGCAGATCTTCTGGGCCGGCAGCGGCGGGCCCCGGCGGCAAAAGACGCAGTGCAAGACGGAGGGAGGCTTCTCCAGGTTGAGGGAGTTGAACTTCTCCACGATGTTGGTGAGCTTCAGGTTCTTCTCCAGGTTGGGCTTCTGGTTGTAGGCCTGGTTGCACTCCGGGCACCGCACCAAGCCCGACTCCTTGGCCCACGCCTCCCCGATGCAGCCCCGGCAGAAGTTGTGCTTGCAGGGCAGCTGGACCGGCTCCACGAAGACGTGCAGGCAAATGGGGCAGATGAGCTCCTCTTCGAAGCAGTTCTTCCAATTCTCGGCCATCTCTGCCGGGCGACGTTCTCCACCTTTCCCCCCACCACCACCACCACCCTGCCAACCTCTGCCCCCGGCCCGCTTCGGTCACTCAGTGCGGTCTAGGGCCGGAGGCTGGGGTCTGTCCTCCCTGCAAGGGGAAGCCTCGGGGTGAACGGCTGAGCTCCCCTGTCCCCGTCCCCGCAGCACGCCCCGTAAATAATAAGCCGCAGCGGATTTTAAAATCGGGGATAAAATAAAACCACCGAGCAGCACTCTCTAGGAACCTCCCGCGAGAAAAACGCAACAGCCCCCGTCGCTTCGTTAAAAAAAAAAAAAGGCAACACAAACGGTTAAAAAAAAAAAAAACAACAAACAAAACCCAACCCAACGCGATATTATAGGATTTACAGCCCAAAGTCTTAACCACCCCTAAAAGCCGTGTTTCTTTTTTACCCCAGAAGGTGAAACTTACCAAAGGTTGAAGAAAATCCATACAAAATCCAGCAGCAGAGTCCAAGTTCCATATAAAGCTCCTAAATTTAGCGCTCCGGATCGGATTTTTCTCTTCTTAGGTTTGCAACTGACATTCAATATTTTAAAGGGACTTTTGTCCCCCCCCCAACCTGGCTAACAGCTGAGAGCACGGACTCACTCGGGGTGGGTTTTTTTTTTTCCTCCCCTGTATTTCTCCTCCCTCTCCCCCTGATGGGAGTTGGGAATCAGAGTCTTTTAAAGGAAACGGATCAAAGGGTTAAGATCCAAAATGGGAAGAGGAGGAGGAAGATTAAAAAAATAATAGCGACGATGACGATGGTGAAAAAAAACCCAAAAACCCAAAACCCCAACAGAATTCTCTCCGCGGCCCCCGAGATTTGCTTCTAACCCGGCGGAGCAGCAGAGAAAAAAGGAAGAGAGAAAAAAAAAAAAAAAGATACAAGACAGGAAAAAAAAAAAAAAAAAAAAAAAAAAAAAAAAAAAAAAACC